TAAACCCTGAACCCTGAACCCTAAACCCTGAACCCTGAACCCTGAACGCGGCGCCACGGTGCGGTCAGGTAGCGGCTGGGTACGGTCCGGCTGGATGCATGGGTCGATGCATGGATCGAGGTGAACTCGGTGGACCGCGTACTCGGTGAACTGGGTTGCGATGGTAGCAGTACAACTTTTATTTGTTTTCGTCGTCATCTCGGTCGCTCCCGTCGCTACTCATATGCGTTCGCTCCGCCACCGCTCAACCTCAACGAAGGGGTCCCGCGCTGTGCTGTTGTGCTGTTCTCGCCGCGCGTGCTGTTCGTCGTGGCGTTGTTGTGGCCATCCATCCGCATGCGCAGTCGTATCGGTGGCGGTCGTATTGGGCCGTATTGGTGCTTTCTCCCATCGGTCCTTACCTGTCGGTGCCTGTGGTGTTGCCGCGGCTGAGGCAGGTATTGGGGATTGAGCATCTTCCCCCTTGCTACCACTTGCCTTCACTTCTTTCTTAATTTCTGTGAATATGTTACGCATCCCTGTGCTTAGAGTCTTCGCGGTTTGTACTACCTGCTCTTTTACTATGTCCCCGTCCTCCGTATTTTTGTTACCTTTCCCCTGTGTCGGGAGTTCTCCTATGTTGCGGCTACAGTTCGTACTTACACTTGCGTTCTGCATGCTGTTCCTTATGCTTTCATGTGTACTTAACCATTGTTTAATACTTTCTTTCATAGACCATCCTTTTGCCTGAATATCTTGTTCCATTCCGTTCTTACATTTTCCCTCATATATTAAGTTCCGTCCGAACGGTCCTTCATTCTCCATGCGCTTCACGGAGTACCATGCATAGAAAATGCCCCACCGACTTGCACATGCTGATTCCTCCAATAGGTGCATAAACATATTTACAATTCCACATCGTATAAAATCCTTCAAATCTGTCCCCCCGCCACTATGATCTTCCGTATGCATCTCTGGTGCTTTGCTCCAACCATTGGCAAACCACAATGCCCTGGTCATAATTGTACATATAATTCTGTCACCCATGCGTGTAACTACGTAGGGTGTCCCAGTCGGGTCATGCGGGTGCTGCCAGCCAAAGTTCTTGCAATTTGCATAATACATATCGTCCATGCCATCCTCATTCAAATGTGCTATAAACTTCTGCAGTTGTACTTCTGTATCCTTCCATAAACTGTGCTACAATTGGAGTAATGCGGGGGCAAGTACATATATTTCATGGTCCTGTCTTCACGGAAGATACTCACTGGACTCGCCCGTATGCTACATGCGCTGCCGCGTATGCTATGTTCACATCGGGCACATGATTCCCCGTTCAAGTAACGTGAACATATGTATGCTGCAAACTGCGTACGCTGCCTATCGACCACCTATATATATGTGTAGGCGCCTGCTCGCTCCATTTTGCCCTCACAATAAATTACCTTATACTCCTTCTGTGTGCCCTGCAGACGCCGTGTGCTCACATAATGTAATAATAAAGCTCCCAACGTCGCATACGACATATTGTGATTAGGATGAAGCAATATAATGAAACGAATGATATCATTATCTCTCAGATAACGGCTTGAGTATAATATGCGCACAATATGCTGTTATGTATTATTGAATTTCATATGGAATGGAACGTGTCTTCCTTGTAAGGTCCTTGCGGAAACATCTCACATGGCCGAACTGTCCCTATCTGAATTTAATCACACACCCCATAAATCGTGGGATTTGGAAGAAGGAAAAAAAGAAATGAAAAAAGGGAAACAAGAACAAAAAAGTGACCCAAAAACAACATATCCATACAAATTCATAACAACATCCTCTACACAACACAGAGACGACTCTCTGGTCCACACATGAACAATATCCCTCCCGTAAAGAAGAAAAAACAAGGAAGAAGAGCCGAGAAAAAAAAAAAAAAAAGCAAAAACACTACACACCGGGTCATGAATACGCCATGCTACACCGGTCTACAAGAAGCCGCAGTAGCGACAACAACATCAATGCTTCTGCCGTCGTTGCCGTCGTTGCTGCCGTCGTTGCCGCCGTCGTTGCCGCCTTGCTTCCGTGGTTCGCCCTCCCACATAATATGTGTGTTCCTGCTGCGCCACGCTCCACTGCACCCTCTGTGATCCCCCTCTGTCTGGATCCTTCCCTCGAAAACTCCTTACGCGGACAATCGCGTTTACACGGCCGCGTGTGCTCGGAGAGACAATGCCCTGCTTCTGACACTCGACGACAATGCGGTTTACCCGGCCGCGTTGCTCGACGCGTTTGCGCGCACAGACAAGCTGTCCTTATACTCGAATGCTTAGTCGCATTCTATATGAGTTCTACACTATACCCTTAGAATGCACTTGCTCATCTTTTAATAATTAATTTCCCATAAAGGAGAATTGTACCCCTTCATATTATGCATGTGAAGCTACATTTTATATGCATTTGACGTGTACCACCGTGTCCCCATGGTCATGTTAAAAGTTGACTACACAGAAAAAGAACAAAACAAAAGCAAAAGTAAGCACAAGCAGAAGAGAGCAGAACAAAAAAAGAAGGTATAGAATAGTACAAACAAGACATATACTATGTATATCACATAATGAAGTAAAAGTGGTGTACGGTCAGCATGCGTTATGTCGCATTCATATGCCCCGTCATCCTAATGTCGCATATTGTGCAATAGATCATCCACATATAACTCGTTCTCCTGCAAACGGCTTTCAAGCTCGCAGTCTTCTATGACTAATGCCAGGATCAGTATCCATGTTTTAGCGGTTAACGGTTTTTTCATGTAAGGTTGCGGATGCAGTGGTTGCGACCACGGTAAATCTCTCACTCGTAGCACATGTGCTGCTGCCGTTACTGTTTCCACTTCTAAGTCTTTTTCGACTCCAAGTACTTCGCCTGTTGCCGGCACTGTCGCCTGCTCTACATTGTTCAACAAATGTTGGAACCACTCTTTTTCTATATACTTTGCCATGTCGTGATGTTGCTTCGCGACCCACTGTTTCCAGGCATCTTTCTTCATTTCCACACATCCAATACTTCCTTGTTCACGTAGTTCACGATGCACGTTGTCGTCGGTTGCCACCATGTGCTCACGTAGGTATTGTTTCCATTCCGATTTGAGGGCATTAAACCACGGCTGCGTCGTGCACGCCCGCACAATATGTTTGTTGCGGTCAATCCAAGTGATCCATTGGGTGCCGTCGGACGTCGCGTCACCGTGGTCGCAATGAGTACGACGCTGTTCTGCATCTAACTGTATGTTTTCCATACAACTCCATGGATCGGGGTGTTCTTCGTTAGGTGGAGAAGTGTCCGTTGCTAACTGTATGGTTTCCATACAACACCATGGATCGGGGTCATGTGGTGGACATGGATCTATGCCGTCGGACTCAGTGGATGGAACATGGTTTCCTGGTAAAGCCTGGTTTGTGGTAGGAGCATCCAAGGAACTACTATGTCCGTTTCCGTGCCGCATAAACTGTTCAACGAGTATCTGCCAATAGTCGTCTTTGACGTTTTCCCATTCGGTTGCTTCACATGCGTTGAGCACTTCTAGATGTAGCTCGATAATCGTGCGCCTATGCACGCGTGGCGGGCGTGCTCTACCGGATGTTGACGCGGGTTGCCTATCCTTAACCATCGTGTAACCGTAATCGGGTGGCGGTAGTTCGCCGCGTTGTAGATGGTCTAGAATTTCTTCGTCGAGTGGCGGGGAAGGCACGTCACGTATAGTTCGATACGTTCGTCGTCGTTTGGCGAGGTAGGCAAAATACTAAACAGAAAAAGGGGGGTAAAGAGGAGGGTGAGGACGGTAGGATAAAAGGAATGCACGCGGGTGTAGGCGAATATATGGATTGGAACGAGCATATGTTGGAGCGCGTAGGGAGTTTCTGAGGTATAAACATCCTGCAAATGCGGCATGCCCGCATTGTCGTGTATACTTACCTTCCATAGGAAAAAGGCAATAACCCCGATACCAACCACCGCCGGAATGATCACGGGGGTATAGGGGACAAGATCCTTGGGGTCGAAGGGTTTACGGGAAGACGGGGTAGGTTGTTGCTCACTGAGGGTACTGCCTCCTGAACTGGATGCTCTATCTCTTAAGGTGGGTGCTTTACCTCCTTCATTAGCTTTTCCACTGGATGTATCAGGTTGGGTAACTGTCAGTCCTGGTCCTGTTGGACTACTTGTTGGATTAGTAGATGGTACTAATGTTACTTCTGTCCCTGAGTCCACAATTTGCCCTGGTCCTGATGGAGGATGTGAACCTGCCTGTGAACTATCTGGAACAGAATTAACAGTTGTTGGGCTTGGACCTGCTGCCTCGGCGGCAGGTTGACCCAGTCCACCACCGCCAGGAGTGCTTGTAACTTGATCATCCGGTTCACCACCACTTCCCTGTGCTTGCCCACCAGAAACTCCATCCGCCATATCAGCATCACTGAAACTGCCACTACTGCCCGATTGATCTGGGTTCGGGTTCGGTTTCGGTTTGGGTGGATTGAGAGGAGGGGGGTCATCCTTGCCGCCATCTACTACGCTGTCCGCGGGGCTCGGGGCACTAGGAGGATCATGCCCTTTGTTCTTAGGGGTAACGTCTGCAATAGTGCTTTGGATAGTACCATCAGCTGTTCCTGCTGCTGCTCCATGGGTCCCCGGTGTTGGGGATGGAGCTGTTGTTGGTGTTGCTGGTGGGGCCGGTGCTTCCGTTGATGTTGCGCCTGGTCCGCCGTTACTCGAGCTATCCTTCTCAGTACCGGTACCTGCAAATTTAAGCCACAGGGACAAAGTGAGAATGCGATGACAACTGAACTCTTGTGACATGGATTGTGGACCACACGGTCGGCACCATGGTGCCACCGTTGACGGCGCTTGCCCGCTGTCCGTCACTGATAGTTCGTTGCCGTCGTTTAACTGATGACCCCGACGGACTGGGGTAGGGTGCCACCCCCGGAAAAGACTCTCTCTCTGTCCCACACAACACAACACAACACACAACACAACACACAACACACACAGTGTGTGTGTGTCGGTCTGTCTGTCGACGTCTACGTCGACGTCTACATCCCGCGGCGACCCAGCGCTCTACCGGGCGCGGCAGTCTGGCTCGCCCCGTCGCTCTGCCCGCTGACGCTCTCGCCGCGTCATTCTCATGCGACGTTTGGTTTCTCTCTCTCCGTGTTATCTCCGTGGTGTCTCTCCTTCTGTCTGCGGAAATTGTGGGTTTGTTGTTTTTGTTTTTTGTGTTCTTTCTCGCCCAATAGTGTACTCAGGGTACCGACAATAGCATATGGACCCCATGGGTGCACTTTGCTGTCGAGTGGGGTACTACACGCCGGAGGCTCTGGACTATTACTACCTGAGCAATCCTTGGGGTCCGAAGAAGGGACGAACGAGACAGACACGCTTAAGATACCTTCCCCTACATGTCTCGTGTGGGATCCGCCTGCTGCAGGGCATGTTGGTTTGGACTTATCCTTACCTGCTTTCTCAGATCCTTCTGCTGGTGGTGGTGCCACCGGTGGGGGTTGCGGTACGGGTCCTGGGCCCCCCGATCCTGCTGCTCCCTGTCCCGGTGCTCCTTGATCATTTCCGTTCTGTGGTTTAGGGGGTGGTGGTGGTCTGGCTGGTGGTTCGTCATCCTCCGAGTCCTTCCTTGCTACGTTTGCTCCTGGTGTCGGCGCGTCTGCCGTCGTGCTCGTTGCCTTCTCTGCAAGGGGGACAACGCAAGATGAGAAAGATGATACAAAAAAACGACACCAGTGGTACAGAAAGAAGGGGGCTCGAGACGGTTGGGTCAGCTAGCGGCAGGGTGGGGGTCCGGCTCGATGCATGGATCGATGCAGTGGGTCGATGCAGTGGGTCGAGATGGACTCGGTGGACTCCGTACTCCGTGGACTGGGCTAGATGGTAACAGTACACGTATCTGGCCGTTCTTCACCGCCGCCCGACACACCGCGGCTCAAGGGAACGGTACGCTACCGCGGCCGGCGTGGCCGCACACCTCGGCGCAAGCCGAAATGGGGCACCCAAGGGGTTACTGCTCGCTGGTCTGCTGTTGGTCCGTCGCTGTTTGCTGTTCTTCCCGCGTTCGTTGTCGTTCCGCCCGCGTGCGTGTTGTTGTGGCCGTTGCGTTGTTGCGGCGGCATCCATGTTCGGCTGTGTTGGGCCGTAGCTGGCCGTGCCACATTTTGGTATTCGTAATGTTCGTATTCTTAGGAATCTCAGGCTCGCTGCCCCTACCTGCTCCTGGTATCGCTGGCGATGACTTGGATTTTTCTATTACTTCGTCCTTCATCTCTTCGAATACTTCCTTCACCACTGTCACTATTTCGTTTCCAATGCCACCGCTGCCGATGACACGTGCGCCTGGATCCACGTTCCCTGTTGTTTTTGCTAATGCATTGCCTGTACCCTTCTGTGCCGTACAGTTCTCATTTCCATGCATTTCCCTCAATTTTGTCCTTAAGTCGGTATGCTTCGATAACCACTCATGAACTGCTGTTCTAATATTTCCGCTACCTATGGTGGACCCCTTCCACCCGCTGTGCTCGCATCTTCCGGTTGCAAGTGCGCCCGCACCTGGTGCCAGCACGTACCCTACATCTACCTGTTTCATTGCCTCCCACGCATAATTTATGCCTTTCCACGTGTCTCCACACTGTGAATTGCTTAAGATACTCTCAAATACATGCACCACAACGCATCCTAATATCTGTCTAATATCTCCTTCATTTTCATTCCTCGTCACTTCAACACCACGTCCTTGTCTTACTGTACCCATGAACGCTAATGCAGTGGACATGATCTTGCACGTCATTTTGGCTTTCTGGCTATAACTGGTGAATAAGGTATTGTCTCCGTGCTTATATTTCCATCCTGGATTTTCACAGTTTGCACCCAGGGACTCTAGTAGTCCGTGCTGCTCCATTTCTGCCATGTAGTCCACAAATTCCCGCAATAGTCCCTGCATAATATCCCATAGCCCCGCCTACAGTGAATATATGGAACAACTGGAACGAGTATATATAAACGGTAAACTGCGGTTGCGCCATCTACCCCATGTTTCCCCGTTGACAGAATAATTTTCTGGATGCATCTCCGGCGATCCGTGTACACGCACTCATGCAAACTTACGTCAAATTCGTGCTGCGTGAACCTGCGTTCCTTCTGTGCCCATATTGCCAATACATGTCCAATAAATTGCTCCACAGGCTTATACCTCCCATCTTGCGAACTCATCTTGCATTTGTCATCAGCAGAAAAATGCCGCAACGTGTTATTAACCTCTTCATGCGTCCACTTAATACTTCAGAAATCCCTAACTCCATATTCCGACGGTTCCTTTCGTGGCCACATGCTACATGTGCCTGGCTCCCGCACAGAATAACCGTTCTATGTGCTTGACAACAGGTAGGAGCTACTCGAACAGTTCTATAATATATTTTTATAATACACAAGGAAAAGGAACACCTTTCTATTCTTGCCCTGAATACATATGAAACTTAAACAAAATTCTGCCTATACAAATGCCCATTCTACATTAGGTAATACACACAATTCTACATGAAAGGAAAAGTGGGAAATGAGACATATGTAAGAAGAATAAAAAGAAAAGAGAAAAGAATAAAAATAAAAAAAATAAAAAAAAAACAAAGAACAAAGAAAGGAACAAATAGGAAAAGTACCACTACTACTACCTACACACACAACGCGTCATGAATAACGCCCGCTCCCCCCTTTCTACACCGTTCTCCACTAAACGACTTCACACACTGTCTCTCTGTGTGCGTACATTAAACCCCTTGTACACTACAAACCGCAGTATAACAACATCAAATTCTTCTGCCGTCGTTGTTGCCGTCTTGGTCGCCGTCCCGCCCGCGGCTACTTCGTTGAATCCGTGCACTCGGCTACAATGCGGTTTACCCTGCCGCTTTGGTCGACGAGTTTGCTCGGAGAGACAATCTCTCCCTCCGTTGTTACACTCGGCTAATTCGTCGAATACCCCTTACTCGGCCACGTGTGCTCGGAGAGACAATGTGCCCCGTTGTTTCACTCGGACAATCCGTGGTCGAATCGGTCTTACACTCGGCTACCTCTTCGAATCCGTGTTGCTGCGGTAGTTGCGCAGCCACGTTTGCTCGCAAGAGCCGTGCTGAGTGGGGCGCGTTTGTCGACGCGTGTGAGCGGCTAGGACCTCGAATACGCGGTGCAGGCAGACCGATGGTGTGCGCGCCGAGGCCATATGCCGGCAGCATGCAAACACAAAACCATGAACGGATGCAATGGCGTGGACGCCAAAGATGACAAATAGTATGAAAGGTAGTGGAAAATAAAAGATGGATGCGCGCGCAGGTGCAAGATGCAGGCAATGGAATAAGCGCGTGGAACGAACAACAGCCTGGATGCGAACACAAAAGCATGAACGGATGCAATGGCGTTGACGCCAAAGATGACAAATAGTATGAGAGTTCGTGAAAAATAAAATATGGATGCGCGCGCAGGTGCAAGATGCAGGCAGCATGCAAACACAAAACCATCAACGAACGCAATGTCGTGGACGCCGAAGATGACAAATAGTAGGAGACGTAGTGGAAAACAAAAGATGGATGCGCGCGCAGGTGCAAGATGGTGGCAATAGAATAAGCGCATGGAACGAACAACAGCCTGGATGCGAATGCAAAAGCAGAAAGAACTTAAGCATAAAAAATGCGCAAAGCGCGCGCAGATTAGGCGTCGAATGCCAAAAAACAAAAAAACAACAAAAGAACAACAAACCCACAGAGGCGTGCGATGCACGAAGTGAAATCGCGACAAAAGCATAGGAATGCCATGCAAGGGTAAGGATACGTGACAAGAGTGAACAAAATGGGCTGCGGAGCAGTAGCTTGCAGGAATGCATATGAAAAAGGCGAACGCGGCGCAAAAACGTGGCGCGCAAAGGAAGCCTGCAGGAAAAGGGAATGAAAAGGGAATGAAAAAGGGATGCAGTAGAAGGATAGCAAAGAAAGTAGGAAAATGGGGGGAAAAGAAAAAAACAAGGAAAAAAATGGAAAAAAAGGAGAACAAAGAGAAAAAAGGAGAAAAAAGGACCCAAAGGAAGAAAAAAAAAAGAAAAAAAAAAAAAATAAAATAAAATAAAAAAAGGGACAAACAGGAAATATGAAAATGCGGGGCAGAAGAGAAACTAGGGAAAAACATAAGCGCAAATTGAAAACGGCAGTAAAAAAGTAAAAGGCACCAAGGCAGGTGTAGAACCAATAAAACAACAAAAGCACCGAAACCAGGGAACAGCGGCAGCACGAGGGTGATGAGAGTGAAAAATAAAAAAAAAAAAACCAAAAAAAACAAAAAGTGGAGTATCGTCCCATGCATAGAAGCCGAAGGTAGAGCACACAGAAGGCCGCAAGTGGATGCAGGGACATGTGACAAAAGCGTGAAGGGTACGCGCGAGTGCGCGATGCAATGGACAAAGAGGCATGGAAAAGCGCATAGCGGAGCAAGGCACGGTGGTGAAAAAGAGGGAGAAACACAGCAGAACGCACGGGGGACTGCGTGAACAGGATTGCCCGACAACATACACAAGTACAAACGACGGCACGCAGAGGAGCAACACCCAAAAGCGCGCGAACCGGGCAGGAGCAAGCGACAAAGGGGAACAAAGGAGGTGCGATGGGAGAGGATGCTCGAAGAAGTGCGAAACACGGCGGCAATGCAGTGCAACGTGCGTGAACCACGAGCAGTTGGAAAGAACCGGGCGAGCACAGCACACGCGCAGGAACGGCGGCACCATTAGGGCATGGAACGGTATGCGCAACAAGCGCAGGAGAACAGGAATAGAACAATGCTGCATGCACAGCGCAGGTGTAGTGGACACAGGAGTAACCGAATCACACGCGGCACGAGCACAGCAAGCAGTGGCGCACAATAGATGGGATCACCAAAAGCGTAAGGTACAATGTGCACCAGGCAAGAACAGTGCAGGAGCACATGAGGCGTGCACTGCACTGCCAACGGCAGACAACCCAGAAATTCGCGGCGTGCATGGTGAACGCGCCGCGCGCCTGGTATCACATGCGCACGGAAGGCGAATGCAATAGATGCAGGAAAATGAGCCGAACACGTGCGCCACGCGCGCGCACTATGCGCAGCGTCTACCACCGTTGCAGCATGTGATCGCGATGCGCGCTATAGTAGTGTCCGCAGCGCGCGCGCAGTATATAACCGTGCGCCTGGAACACCACGCCGGCATGCGCACAAGCCTGCTGCAGCAGCATCATGTATGGTCGCCATGAGCGCGCGCGCAGGCTGAGCATGAAGGGCTCGCGTTGCCAGGGCGTACGACGTATTCATGCGCACGACCGCGCCGCATGCACATAACGCACGGCAACAACAGCCAACAAGCATATTGCACATCTTCGCTCAGCGCAATGCACAATTGCCGACAGCACGGGACCAGCTCGGTCACCACCATGACTGTGCACTAAAGCGCGCATGAGTACGAGCGCCCAGTTTACGAATTTATGGATATAAGGGGATTATATGTGCAAAATTGCTCCAAAATATTTGACCACCTGCAGCAAGCACAGGACGCGAGCATGCCCTATGCTCCTTGAGGGCGGCTATCACTGTAGCTGATGTTATACGGTACCCTAAATACCTATATCTGTTTATGCAATAGTCTACATGACGTATGCTGCTATTATCATGTACAATATTATAGTGCCACAAACGGGGGAATATTAACTCGGTGCCAGAATGTTGGAAGTGCGGAAAAAAAAAAAACAGCACTGTTACATTTTATAAAAATATTTGCCACATGTTGTATGCATGGTAGTCATCATCAAATGATTGTTACATATAGGATATTTATATATTATACATACATATAAAATGTAGTACCATGTATACCCTTTTTAGGGCTACATTCCCCTTTTCTTAATATCAATAAACTATGTATCACATAAACAACCCCCGTTATATATACACAAACCATGTACATTGGACACATATAAACAACAGTATAATTTAAGGCGCAATTATATGGTACAAAATATAAATATTAATAAACCCTGTCATAAACATAGTACGAAGTGTTATAAACAGGTAAATATAAGAAATATATATAAGCATACTGTAATAGTGAAGTTGCCTGCCGGAAGTGGCATACACGACGTTACTTATGCTTT